ATTAATATATTCACTAGTACAACACCCGTGTATTACACGGGTGCTTGTTAAAAAATTATATTTAAATTTTAAATTAATGAGAAAAATATATTAAATTTAGTTTATTTTTTACCAAAATAATATTATTATATATTTTAGAATGATATATGTTACTTATGACTTACATGTGTTATATTATATTAGTTTTTATAACTTATATCATATAACTACTTGAAATATAAATATATTAGTTGATAAATAATTTTATTTTTCTAATTAATATTAAAAATAATTTTATTATTGTTATAAAGATAAATATAAATTATTATTTTTAATACATACAATAAGGATGTTAAATCGAAACTCATCAAAAGAATATTAATTTGATATATTACATATGTAAAACTGATAAAAAATACAAAAGTTATTAACTCTTAAAATATATATATAATTCTATAGCTACAATAAGGAATGATATGAAAATGTAATTAATATATTTAACATGACCATAAATAATCAACATATTTATAGTAATCCGAAACTAATTATTTTTGATTTGGAATTAAATTAAAATTTACCCAAACCTAATAACGAAGCATATAATTTTGCTACATATGATTTCGAAGCACCAGAAGCAGTCACGTTGGCTCAGCGCGTTCTGGATTAATATATAGGGGAGAGTGGAGATGTTTAATGTAGTTATATGTTATAAGTTAGAATTTTTTTTATAATATAACACATGTAAGTTGCACTAGTAACAAGTGTCATACTAAAATATAATATATATATATATATAATATTTAAATTCTCAATTAATTTTTCTCATTATTTATATTTTAAGAAAAATTTTTAACAAGCACCTGTGTAATACACGTGTGTTGTACTAATTAAATTAATATTTCAGAAGAATTATGAAGGAAACTTTAAAATAACTCTTTTATTATGAAATTGAATTATCTAGAATTTTATTTTATTTTTTTTGAAAAGATTTTTAATTAGAATTACTCGATGTACAATTTCTAAATTATTGAAATTTCATGGAATATTTTTTTTTTCGTGTCCGAGAATAATAAGTCATACTAATGAAATTATCAGGCTAGCTGAAATTGCGCACCTTATTTATGGCCCACATATTTGTTAACGTTGTATTTGTTTAGGCCCATAAACATAGACGTCTATAGAGGATTAGGTGGCCCAATAAGAAGCTGCCACACAAGGTCTCAACTGTAAATATTTTTTTAGGTGGCCCTTATTCATGCAAATATTCAAAGTTTTATACTGTCTTCGGTTATATTATTTTGGCGGCTTGTCGTCTTGGCACGGACCTCTGTTGCAAAAATATTAACGTTGAAATATGAAATAAAAAATAGGGAAATGCTATTGTCCCGTTACAACATTATTCGATTGAGGTTTGTAACTGTTAAATTATCATGTAATTGTTGGAATAGTTGATCTAACGTTTGCCAATTCGAACAGAATAGTTCCGTAACGAGACCGTAGCATATATCTCCCAAAAAAATAATGGATATTACTTAATTACAGTAATTCTCTATTCCATAGAAAGCAATAATTAAAAAANNNAAAAAAAAAAAAAAAAAAAAGAAAGATTAAGTGTATCTTCTTTACACTTATGTGCATGCATTTATTTTCACACACAAGCACATACTAAATCATTTTAAGGGCGTGAGGATAATTTTTTTTTTTTCTTTTTATGTGAGATTCTCATAATTGGTGTGTACTCTATAATTTTCTTATTTTGCTTTTCTATAACTCTTGACATTTGTATTATTTGTTAGTCTTTTTTATTTTTTATTTTAATTCAAAGTTGGTCGAGAATACTGGTACTAAAAGCAAAATTTAATGGCGAAAATATTTTTCCATTATTAACCAATTTATGTCGCTTTTCCCCCATTCCCCATTCGAAAAAGCTAGGTTTAATTAAAAATCTCGGGTGAACGGTGTTACGAAGGGCGCCGGACTTTGATTAAGGAAAGCGGCAAACGAATCACGAGATGTGGAAGATAGTCGATATGTCGAAAATCGAATGCCATTCAATGGGAAATGAAGAAATCACGAGCGAAAGCAATGTTGAGGAAGCATATGCTAAGGCCTTGAATCCGATGAAGTCGAATAAAAGCATCGATCGATCTTTCGCAGTTCCATGCGGAGAAAAATCGAAAATCTTGGGAGATGATAAATCTCGGCCATTGAAGTCATCGGCGCAGGTACCCACATTGAATTCAGTCGAGAAAAACAATATGTTGGAAAGTCATAATGAGATGTATTTAGTGAAAAGAAGTAAAAAAGAAAAAAGAAGCATTGAGGAAGCATACGCTATGTCCTTGAATCCGATGATGCCGAATAAGAGCATCGATCGATCTTTCGCAGTTCCATGCGAAGAAAAATCGAAAATCTTGGGAGATGATAAATCTCGACCATTGAAGTCATCGGCACAGGTACCCACATTGAATTCAGTCGAGAAAAACGATATGTTCGAGAGTCATAATGAGACGTATTTAGCGAAAAGAAGAAAAAAAGATAAAAGAAATGTGGAGGAAGCATACGCTAAGGCCTCGAATCCGACGAAGTCGAACAAAAGCATGGATCGATCTTTCGGAGCTCCATGCGAAGAAAAATCGAAATTCTCGGGAGACAAATCTCGACCATTGAAGTCATCGGCACAGGTACCCACATTGAATCCAGTCGAGAAAAACGATATGTTGGAGAGTCATAACGAGACGTATTTAGCGAAAAGAAGAAAGAAAGAAAAATGGCAAGGCAATGGTGTAGTTTTAGAGGTTGAGAATGGTGATGAGATGAATAATAAAGAGATTGAAATTAGAAAGAGGTGCAATTTTGTGAAGGGAGATGTGGTTTGGGCAAAATACAAGAATTTCCCTACTTGGCCAGCTATTGTGATTGATCCCATCTCGCAAGCTCCTCAAAGGGTACTAAAGGCTCAACTTCAAAGCACTATTTGTGTTATGTTTTATGGGTATGCACGGAGTGGCCAAAGGGTAATTAATCTTCTTCGCACGCCACGTCTTTTGTATTTGTTTGAAGTTTATATTAAATGTTTTCATATTCTTTTTTTTTTACAATTATATGGTGTGCTAATCATATGATAAATCGATCTGATGTTTGGCAAAACTAGCTGATAGTGATAAGCTAGCTTATAATTTGTCAGTAATTTCGAGCATATAGCTTATGGCTAAAAAGCTAGATTGCATGATAAAAATATTTGGTAAAATTAACTGATAAGCTAGCGGAAATAAAAATTTCAACGAGCTTATTTGAAAAACTACCCAAAGAAGCTTATGAGATAAGCTCGAATTATTTAAAAAAACTCGTTGTACCAAACGAAAATTATTTAAATACATGAATCTTATATATAAGCTAATCAAATAAGCTATATAAGTTAGTTTATTTGTCTACCAAACATAACCGTAGTGGAATTATTTATGATCAAAAGATTGTGGTTGCAAATAAATGTTTCAAATTAAGGTTGAGAGTGTATTATATATAGTGAACACATTATTAGTGTAAGGTTAGCTATAGGCAGTTATATTTGTCATGGTTTATGAACAAAAAATTGACTACTTATATTTGAAAAAAAATTGTATTTCTTATATAATAATCTAATAATTAGACAGGTCTATCTATCATACTTTTCGGACAAAAATGAAAGATTACATTTAACGAAATTGCATACTTATATTTTTACAAAATTTTAATTCTAATACTATAACATGTAGAATTTTTGTTTAACTTTTTTTTTTTTTTTATATATTATTTTGCAGGAGTATGCGTGGATAAAAGAAGGGATGATTTTTCCCTTCCTTGAATACAAGGACAGGTGAATATTGTAGTCGTCGTTGTTGTACTTTTTTTTTTTTGGATACAATAAGGTGTGCAACACGAGGACTTCCCAGGGGGAGTCGTTGTTGTACTTTAGTTCGAGTGACAAAGGTTGACCAATACATTTGTTGAATGATTAGATTTCAGGGGCAGACTAAGTTGTACGGCAGTAAATCAAGTAACTTTAAAATGGCAATTCAAGAGGCGATTTCGGCGATAAATGAACTCATTAATTCAGTGCGAGATGCTGATTCTGATCTATCTATTCCAGAGTCGGAATATTCTGTTCAACAGGCAAGTTTCGACTGAGACAACTACGGCGTTTATTTTGTTATGTATTACATTAATCACATGTCTCGAATTATATAATGTAATAGAAAAAAATGGATAGTCGTAAAACAGGGCGGTTGATGAATTAACTCTGTTATCTTATTTTTTGTATTCTACCACTTAACTGCACGACATTTTCACCTGGTTTAATTTTTTTTTTTTTTCGGGTTTAGGATGGTCAAAAGGTTGATAACTCGCGCCCAAAATGCAGAATAAAGCCTGCATCAGAGATTATGAGTTCTGGCAGATGGAAACAACGTGCTGGGTATTGTTCATGCTTGCCATTTCGTTTTGTTTATGGGATAGAAAAGTGGAGCCTATGTTGAAACATTGTGTTTGTTTTGATTCATGTCGACCAGGTTTGGTGAATATCGTACACAAAATGCTCTTCCTAAAGACATAGGCGTTGTATGCAATGGCGTTGAAGGGATTTACTATCCGATTTTACGTTTGTACGACCCGACGTTTCATGATTTTAATGTTCATTCTTATTATATATTCTGATGTTATAGATTTTTTTTTTTCGTTGATGATGGTTAAAAATGATGCCAAAATCAAAATTACTACCATTGTGGCTTTTAAAATAAGATTCTTCAGATTCTGAACAAATATGTTTTTATATTTACTTCATTCACTTAATAGGGTTGAATGCATTTGTGGATCGTGTGGTACAAAGAAATACGGGCTTAATGAGTGGGAACGACATACCGGAAGTCGAGCCAAGAAATGGAAGAGTAGTGTAAAAGTGAAGAGCACTAAGCAAACACTTGGAGATTGGGTCTGTTCTGTCACTAACTTGATGTTGAAACTTTTTATATTTTAGAACTCGCGTTTGATTAGTTGATCACGTATAAACGTGCTACAGTTGGAAGAGAACAATGTTTGCGGTTTAAGCCCAATGCGGTTAGATAAACAACAATTGTTTGCTCTTTTAAAAGGTAATTGATGCTTTCTTGGGCACTAGAATCATCGTATATTTAGATTTTGTTTATGTATTCTGTACTTTGTTTTATTTGGCAGAAAACTATGAGCCTGTTAATGTAAGGTGGACAACTGAACGATGTGCAGTATGTAGATGGGTCGAAGACTGGGAGAATAACAAAATAATTATATGTAACAGGTGTAGATATGTTCGATTACAACTTTTTGGATATGTTGGACACCCTCGAAAGAAAATTCTGATCCTAAATAGAGAAAAAAAAATCAAACCTTTATATATCAATATAATATGTCCTTTCTGTATTTAGATGCCAACTAGCTGTGCATCAAGAATGCTACGGAGCAACAAACTCACAAGATTTTGCTTCATGGGTTTGTCGATCATGCGAAACTCCAGAAGTCGAGAAGCAATGTTGTCTTTGTCCTGTAAAAGGCATGTAACTATAAAATAAATTAAATTTGTGTTTTAAATGTTTCCTTCTTACTCGGATTCTTTTTTTTATTGAACGTCGCGTTTTCAGGGGGTGCGTTAAAGCCTACCGATATTGAACCTTTATGGGTTCATATTACTTGTGCATGGTTCCACCAAGAAATTGTGTTCACTGATCCACAGAAAATGGAGCCCGCCATAGGACTTCTTAAAATTTCTCCGAACTTATTCACTAAGGCATGTATTTTGTATATATTGACATATGGTATGGATAATCGTTCATGCTCTCTCTATGGCTTTAATTCATATTCATGAACAAAGTCTTTGGATGATTATTTTCTATCGTCGTCTTACCATAGATGACTTGTTCTCCTATGAATAATATAACATTTTTATATAACCATGGTCGAGCTTTTAATTTGTCGTCATTTAAGTAGTCTTATGCGTTTCTCTAATGTGAATTATGCAGGCATGCATTATTTGCAAGCAAATTCATGGTTCTTGTATTCATTGCTGCAAATGTGCTACGTATTTTCATGTTACGTGCGCTTCTCGTGCTGGATATTTCATGGAAGTAGGCCACGAGCAACTCTCTTATTTTCACACAAGTTATTTACTTATTTACATATAGTATGCAATGCTTTGTAATTCATTATATCCACTTCTTCTTCCATGTGATGCATCGAGTAACTTTTCGTTTTTCAATGACAGTTGGATTGCTCTTTAAAGAATGGTATGGAGATAACAAAATGGACATCATATTGTGCCGCTCATAGGTAAGGTCGTTATGCGGTCGCATTTATAAACATGTTTCCGGTGGCTCATCATATTCAGTTATCGATGAAGTTTAATGTTATAATATATAATAACAAGATAACTGATTGGCGGTGCTATTTTAGGACGCCTAGTGCAGAAAATGTGCTCGTTGTCAACACACCAGACGAAGATTTTACTAACAAAAGGTTGCTTCAAAGTGAGTACGAAGAACAATATCTAAAAGGGTCCGATTTATCTCCCGGTGATGCATATGAATTCGAAGATATGTCTGCAGCGAGGTGCCGCATATATCAAGAATCGAACATAAAGGTAGCACTTGTTTTCCATCACATCAACATTGACTTCAAGTGAGGAATTCGGTTTTGCTCTGATATTTAATGTAACTATTTACTCTGATATTTAAATAGAAGATCAGACAAGACTCGATAGTTCACCGCTTGATGGGGCCGAGTCGTCACACGCTGGATGATATATATAGATTAAGTTCACATAAAGTAACTATTTTTTTTTCTTCATTTTTCAATTGACATTGTATATGCACAAGTTTTTCCTTATGGATATCTAACATTTTGAATAGGCTTCTGAAGACGCAACAGATTTCTTATCGTTAAGAAAGCGACTGAAGCACTTACAGGTATTCGACATTGTCTTATTCTCTAGATTTTGTTAACTGCAACATTTATTATGTCGTATGCGATTTACTTTATTGGCACTTCAGATGGAAGAAAAATACCGGGTTTGTTTTGGTAAATCGAGAATTCATAACTGGGGCCTCTTTGCTCGGCGAAGCATTTGTGAAGGAGAAATGGTAAAATGCCAATCTCTCATTAATTTGCAGAAAATATATTAGAATAAGCATGTGGATTTGTACTTTTGTCTCGCGAGTTCACGATGCTTTCTCTCTCTCTCTCTCTCTCTCTCTCTCTCTATGTATGTACTAATTGCTTACAACTCTTAGACGTGACGTATTTTTTTTTCACTACTGACTTTTTCATTAGATTATAGAATACCTTGGCGAGCAAGTTAGGGGTAGCGTTGCTAACATACGAGAGGCCCGCTATCGGTCACAAGGCAAAGATTGCTACGTAAGTTTACTCTTGAGTTTTCTTAATATATAATCATATGTTTACTCACATTGTTTGTTTCTATGTTTATGCTACTTCACACAGAGCATATGCTATAACCGTCGTCTAATTAATACTTTGTGCAGTTCTTTAAGATCAACGAAGAGATAGTAATCGATGCAACGAACAAAGGAAATTTGTCCCGATTGCTTAATCACTCTGTATGTTCTACTCTCATATTCTTATGTAGATTCGTCTCGTCTCACTATGCGTACGTTTATTATTCTTCTTCTTCAATTCACAAGCAAGTGACTTCTAGCCATTCTTGCAGTGCATGCCCAACTGTTGCGCCAGGATCGTGAGCATAGGAGAAGACGAGAGCCGCATAGTAGTTGTTGCGAAAACTAATGTTTCGGCTGGTGAAGAGCTAACGTATGTACACATGATTTATTCTAAAGTTTTTTTGCATTCTATATTTTCATGGCGCCGATTTCATGTTCCTTGTATTGCAAACAGGTGTGACTACTTGTTCGATCCAGGCGAACAACACGAGGTTAAAGTTCCTTGCCTATGTAATGCTCCTTACTGTCGTAAGTTCTTGATCTAAATAGCCTGTGTGTGGCTGCTAAAAGGACTACATTATATAGTTTGATAAATGCAGAGCAGATTTGTCTTAAATATTTTGCATTTGTAAAATTGTAACTCTGTGGCTAATAAGTTTCGACATTCCTATGTCTGTTGGCAGAGTCTGAAAGTGGATAATATTGGTTTGATGTGTACAAGAGTTTTATACAAATTTGCAAATTTGGTTGCTTTTAGCTTTAACTTTTGTTTCTACAAATAAATAGAATCGGGAGGCAAAATTGCAATTTTAGTCATGTTAGTTTATTTGGTGGCGTTTTTAGTCTTAAGAATTGAACACTTTTGCTATTTGGTCTTATGATTTTAAAATTCAATTCAATTTCAGTCTTTTGAGACTGAAAATGCAACAAATTTTTTTTATTAGCAATTTAAGTCCTGTAATTTTTTTTTTTTTTTTGCAATTTCAGTCCCAAAAGATTAAAATTGTAACAAAATATTAAATTACAGATCAAAAAACAAAAATTTAAAATCTTTGTACTAAAAATGCTACGACGTTAAACCAACTTGACTAGAGATACAATTTTGTCTAGGTTTCACTTCTTTTGCTTTTTGATATGGTGAACTAAGTAAACGAAATAATATATGTTCTGACAATCGATATTGAAACTACTTGACCGGAAAAGATGTTATTAATATTGACTAAAGTCGTTTTTTGAATGGGGGCTTTGGAATTGGGAGTCTTGCAATAATATATAGTAACTAGCTCAACCACAATAGTAGTTTGTCATAATTCATTTTGAACAACCGTGATTGAATATTGTAAACCAAAACAAGGCTAAATATAATTAAATATATGATTTGGGGTTTATTGAAATAGACTAGTTCCTGTAAAAAGAGACAATTCTAGGCTGGTATTTTTTCTTTTACCGAAAATTGAAAACCGAACAGAACCGTATTGAGCGTGCTTGTCCAATCAATTAAATGCATATTGTACGACCCGATTAACAGTTTATGGGCTTTTTTTTTTTTTTTTCCAACGATAGAAACTATATATATGGTAAATCAAGTACAAACTAGTCAACGGCCACTCGTCGATAAAAACGGCCAACGACCGAAACTAGTTGGGAGGCATACAACATGGCAACCTAGAGCCAACTACATAACAAAACACCCCAAGTTCCCAACCAAACTCTCAAAGGGAGAACACCCTCCCAAATAAGGGGAGAGCACACTCCCAAATAGGAGAAGGAGGAACTCCCACTAATGGAGACAAAACAACTCCACTAGACCAAGTAGAACTAGATACAAAGAAAGAAAACACATATAAAAATTAACTAAAAGCTGAAACTAAAACCAAAGCAAAAGCCCTCCCCACTGGCCACATACGAGCACCCACCCGACACGACACAAACAAGCACTGAGGCAGCAAACCAGATCGGGAAGCTAAACCACCCACTGCCCACACCGAATCTAGAGACACCGAAACCGAATTTCCCAACCCGGGTTGGCAAACCAAAACTCCCTCACAGTCCACTACCTCGGTTAGCCCCAGAACGACTGAGCCGATACCCTCTCACCATACCCCCAGAGAGAAAGCGTTGTGATAATTAAACCCCCCATTAAATTTACTTTTGCCATAATTAAAAGCAATTAAGTGTTGCTCAATAATCTAGTATGTTTGTAAATAAGTAAGATAGTTTTAGTTAATTTGTAAATAAATATATATGAATTGTAAATATGTAATAATAATGTTACTGTGTAGAGGAGGTAAATCCCTCTAAAATAATAGATGTGGAGTCATTTAAATCAGGCTCACATAAATCCTACTCCTTAACTTGTCTACCAAGACAAATAAATAAAAATAATTACAATAATAATCGAATCCTAATTATAATAGTAATAATACTAGTCTACACCATTCTCCCCCAGTTCGAAAGGCTTCGCCCTTGAAGCCGACTCGCTTCCGTGGCTGGTGTGCGGAGGCGAATCCATGGTATTAATCTCCGTCGTTTCCCCATGTCGAACATGAAGGTTGAACGACACTGTGATCTGCCTTGGCTAGCCACAAAATCCTCGACTGCTCAAATGGCACTTCTTATATCTTCAACTTGAGTTACCCGAACAAATACTTCTGTCATGAAACTATTTCAACATTTTAAACCACGTATCAAACTCGTCAACACCACCTTCAAGAGTTCTGAAACATTATTTACAAGATGACAAAAAATTGTCAGACTCGTGCCCTTGGAATTCTCTATACTGCACAACATGGTCACTAAAAAATGCATCGAGTTTGGCGGTTTGGATAGCCGGAGTTCCAGTTTCATCTTCCAGCCCCAGAGGCTCTTCATCAAAAATTGGTGGACTGTCGTACAATGGCCCGTCAACTTGCTCATTGTCAAATTCGGGGTTGTCAATGCGAAATGTTTCCATTGACCATATTCACGATCAAGTCCCCAATCGCATGGGGCACGATATCTACCAGCGAAGGCAGCCTCCTCGCGCCTGCCTCTGTCGTCACGTTGATCGTCTCCATCCACGAAGACCGGACCCCGTCGCCGAATGTCAAGGTCGTCGTATACATCAAAGGGGTCAGCCTCGACGTGCGGGGGTGAATAATCGCCAAAGGAATTCACCTCCGAGATTGTCTCGTCGTCGGATGGTGGTTGCGGAGATCTTCGACAGGGAGCCCCACCCGGATCACGGCCTCCACGTCCTCCGCGAACTCCCTCACGCACGCCCCAATTGTCGGTGTCACTGTTCTTCTGCAAATCCTCAACCATGTTGTCGATCGTAAGACGCACTTCTTCGACCCCCGTCGAAATTACTTCAACCCGACGTTCCAATTGATTGATCTGGCGGCCGAAACCCGTGGCTCGTCGACCCAGATACTCAATGGTGGTGTCACGCCTAGGGGTGAGCATCGGCCGGTTCGGTCCGAAAATCGAACCGAACCGAAAAAACTGAAAATTGAAATTGTATTACAATATGAAACCGAACCGAACCGAATAATCTTTAATAACCGAACTAAAACCGAACCGAAATTATCTGTTCGGTTCGGTTTTAAAACCGAAAATCGAAATTTTACATAAGTTCACAATACATGTTCCAAAACATAATAATTTTTATCACAAGTTCTCTAAAATCTAAAATATGATTATATTATTTAGTTGTTGGGCTATGAAATTGGCATACATATCTAAAATCTAAAATTTTATTTATATTATTTAGCTTTTGGGTTGGGCAATGGACCACTACTATTAAAGTTTACTAATTTGTAACATAAATTCGGTTCAGTTCGGTTTAACCGAATTTATTTTTTCGAAAACCGAACCGAACCGAATAAACCGATTTTTTTTAAAAAATGAAACCGAACCGAATTAGGAAATAAAAAAGCCAAACCGAACAACACTATTCGGTTCGGTTCAGTCGGTTTTTTCGATTTTATCCGAATAATGCTCACCCCTAGTCACGCCCGTCGATGTCGTCCTTTTGCGGCGGCATCATGAATCGTACTGACTTCTGATACCATGTCATCGCGATCCCAGCAACATCTAAACACGAATTATTTCGTCTTTTCATCCAATAACTCGCCCCCTAAAATAATAGATGTTGAGTCATTTAAATAAGGCTCCCATAAACCTTATGCATTAACCTGTCTACCAATCTAAGATAATAATAATAATAATAATAATAATAATAATAATAATAATAATAATAATAATAATTATAATAATAATAGTCTACACCAATATTTCACTTGAACTGGCGAGCATTCTAGTTCTTCAAAATGCCATAATTAAAATAGTGAGCCGCGAGTCATATCCTATGTGAACAAGGCAAACAAGTGAGGTCCCATGACTGTAAAAGGCTGCCCCAAGGAACATACAGTCTCACTTTCATGGCATCAATGTTTGATTGGCCGATGATTTGGGCAAACATATATATATATGTGGACTTGTAAACACACATCGATCCCTAAAATTGCGCCATCCACGCACGCAAGTACTTAGGTGCGCTAGGTGTGCCAAAGTTTTTTTAAAATAAACATGTTACGTTATAAAATGAACATGTGTAAGCATGTTTGCACATGTTCATTTTGTAACATAACATGTTCATTTTAAATTGTCTTTGCACACCTTGTTAAGTATACCTCGGTGCACGGTAGTAACACTTATCCACGCATTTATGATCCTTTTTGGTTCCTTATCCTCAACCTTCGTACATTTATCACGAGAGACCTTTTTGTTTTTGTCGGGTGTTCGTTATTTAGCTTTGCAAAGGAAATGGTTTTTGGTAATGGTTATCATTTCCATTTTACGCAAAACTTCTTTTTCTGTTTTAAGGATGATAATAATTGAGAGAAATGATATGGTCTCGTTACGTACGAAACTGTTCCGTCGGGGTTTGTATCCGTTAGATCATCATATAACCGTCGAGAATAATTGATCTAACGGTTGCAAACCTCGACGGAATGCTTTCGTAACTAGACCGTAACATCTCCCAATAATTGAACTTCGTAGTAATCATGCAAGTAAAAGAAAACTAATCAAAAACTTATCCAAACATGAAAACAAAGTGTAAATTAATAAGTTTCAATATTTTATTCGGGGGTTAGAAAATGCTACATTGTCAACTTACTGTATTAAAATTAATCGGGGGTTAGAAAATGCTACATTGTCAATTTACTGTATTAAAATTAAAGAGGCATACAATACAAATCATGTCTCACCATATAAAATTGTATGTGTAATCGTCATACATAATATAATAGTGCATGATTCTTATATGTAACTTTAGTTTATTATTTTAGCCCAAAAGTACCATTGAATATAGGCACTTTTGGAGCCCATCTTTAAAACATAAAGAATCCATCCCTCTCACAAAATAGCTAAGCATCACAATATATGGTTGAAAAAAATTAATATTTGTTAATAGAGAAGCAGAAAAAATAAATAAATAAATAAATAAAAGAGATAATATTTTATAATTTGATTCATGTGAATAAGTGGGCCTGTAAGGGGGCTTTTGGACCTTTTGTTGATAGAGTGGTGGGCCTGGTCGGTGCATGCTGAGAGTGATGTCCACCACTCACATTCAAATTCAAATTCAAATTCAAATTCACATTCACACATAAATGCATAGAACAACAGCAAATCAAGGCAACCACACAAGTTTTAGATACGTTTTTTGTTTTGAATCTGGGATTTGAGATAAGGGTTTTCTTAGTTAATATTGATTGAGAAAATCAAAGCTTTTTTATTGAACTTTCAAAAAAAAAAAGAAGAATGGAGGCAGAGTATATACGTAGATACCATGGGCACCAACACAGTGTTAACCAGTGTTCTTCTTGTGTTGTCAAGCACATAAAAGCTCCCGTTGACATAGTAATTCTCTCTCTCTCT